AACCAGACCTTTTGGAGTGTGAATCTCTGCTTTGCAGCTTACCAACCATGTGGCTGTGGACAGGTTACAGCCCTCTCTGTTCTCACCGTTGTTCTAGACTGTTTTGAGGGTAGTGAGTGTCACTATGTGCAAGACATTCTCAGTCTTATGTTTGGTGCATACTGTGCCCAGTGAGTGTGTGTGTGAACTGGCTGGCTGACTACATGAAGGATGACCTTCCAGGCAGCACCCAGGAATGTGAAAGAAAAAGAGTTCCAAAAGTGGGGACTCGGTATTGATTGTTCCTCTGAAGAGTTCAGATTATGACCCTTGGTAGCAGGGTTATAGATAACTTTTCAACAGAAAAGAGTGCTAGTTAGAATTGCATTAAAAGAGAAGGGTGTAGGAGTGACAGTCTAGGCCTCGGCATGTGATGGCACCTGGTCCAGAGCTGGCCCTGTCGTGAGAGACTTGGTAGCTTCTGGCCTGTGCAGGTGAGGAGACAGCTGATGTGGCAACAGGAAGGCAATGTGCCATAGCTCTAATGCTGTCTGTAGCTCTACTGAGCACCTACAGAATGGTTCCAAGGGACAGAGCAGGGCCCCTCTGGGACCATGAAGGCAGCTGTCCTGCCAGGGATTGTAGGTCACCACTGAAGGTGAAAAGGTGGTGGGCAGGCACAGGCACCTAGCAACTGCCTGGAGCACAACCTTTGGCTGTTGCTCATTCCTTTCCTTTGGCCCAAGTTGCAGTCAGACCCCAATGATCATCACAGCCTTCACCTGGCCTGAGACAATTGACTGGTTGAGAAGCCACACTGCTGTGAAACAGGCAGGCTCAACTTGATCTGATACATGTAGACAGGAACTTGCTCATTTTGACCCATAGGCAAATATGTTTGAGTTAGGAGATATGGCCAGCAGGCCCAGGCCATTGCCCAGCTCAAGTCACTATAAATGGAGGAGTGTTGCATTTGTGCCAGACAAGAGACCAAAGGTCCTCTGGGCAGAACATACCTGCATTAGTCCCAACACAGGACAAGCTGCTGACCACAGGACTGCTATCCCTAAGCAAAATTAGCAAGCCCTTATTGACAGCAGAGACCTGCAGGAGCTGGGAGACAAGAGCCATTGCCCAGCAGCCCTTGAAAGTCACTGCCAGCAGCCAGAGGTGGAGGAGTCAATTATTGTGCTCTAGGAAGCTAGTGACCATGTTAGGGTTACTAACTTAAAATACCTTCTTAAATTACCAAGTTATGCTGGGCACAGCCAGTGCTTGGAAGGCAGAGGCAGGTGGATTTCTGTGTGAGTTCAAGGCCAGCCTGGTCTACACAGGGTTTCTCTGTGTAGCTTTGCACCTTTCCTAGAACTCACTTGGTAGCCCAGGTTGGCTTCGAGCTCACAGAGATACACCTGCCTCTGCCTCCCAAGTGCTGGGATTAAAGGTGTGTGCCACCACCACCCGGCAAAAAAAAATTTTTTTTTAATAGCAAGTTACTTTCATGGTCAAAAGCAAAACATAATGCCACTGTTCTCAGATTCCACACTTACAGGACACTTCTCCTCAGGGCACGTCAGAAGGAAGTCCAGGATTCTGTAACTGCTCAGTCCCCAAGGGACCTGAATTGAGGAGCAGTGGTCTGCACACATCTACCAGGCCAGCCTCATCCCCACCTGTGATTCCCAGCTTTCCATCCCCAGCCACTGGCCTTCCCACATGGCTATGTCTCTTCTGAAACTTCAGCTCTCTCCCCAGGAGAAGATGCTCAGTTACCAGGGTGTGCCAGTGGCCAGCAGCAGCAGCAGCAAGAGGACTGCTGAGAGGAGGCCTTGGAAGGGTTGGGGTTGGAGAAGGCAGAGCGCACAACTCTAAGCAGGTCAGGAGGATGCTTTGCCATGTCCTGACCCCAGGAAGAGCCAGGCACCAAAGCAGGCCTGACAAGTTTGCTGCAAAAGACCAGCCACCCTTCATCATAGGATGGCTAGTGTTTTGTTGTGTTCTGAGTCTTTGGGGTTTTGAGTTTGGTTTTGGTTTTGTTGTATTGAGATAGGATCTGACTATGTAGCTCTGGATGGCCTTGCTCTGTTGACCAAGCTTGCCTCCAACTCACAGAGATCAGCTGCCTCTGATCTCTGAGGTTAAAGGTGAGCACCACTGTGGCCAGCCTGAGTGGCTGTTTTAAGGGGCTGACTCCTCTGTCTTGGTTTCCTCACTAGTGAGATGAGGTAGTAGTATACAATACATGGGGTGACAATTAAATCTTGTGTTTTATATAACTAGCTAATTACACTCGTGATTGTGTAACATATAGCTCAAAAGGTTAAATTATTACAGAAGTATTTTGTAGGCAAAGACTGGGGAACCCTGGAAGGCCATGAAGCACAGGAAGGACATGGTCACTTTCATGGGAGGGGTAGACATGGGGAGGGAGAGAGAAGAGAATGGGCACAATGCAAACTTGGGAAGTGGGATTGGCAGGACACTGTGACTATTAGACATAGGTCTGAGGTCAAGGATGACTCAATACCTGCTGGTCATCTGGCTGAGTATAGTCTGTGGAAAAGGAGCAAGTTTTCATGTTTAAGCAGCCCCTGCTCCCAGGCCCTCTGTAGCAAGTCATAACCTGCTCAAGGGGACACTTGGCCTCAAGATGAGAAGTGGAGCACAAAAGCCACACTCAGTAGATATTTATGGAAAGAATAGGCCTTGTCTTCCAGCCCTCTAAAGGAAAATCTTCCTGGCCTCCTCCCCTGGCCATAAGCCAGTGGCAAAGCAACTGCCCTTCTATCTCAGCCTCCTGTCATATGTTTGGGCCACACAAGCATCTGTCTGTCTCCAGGAACCAAGGGTAGAACTGAAGGCTGCCTGCCCAGCCCAGCAGGGGCATTGCTGATGGTTGGAAGAGGCAAGAGTCCCATTCAGTCACGTGGCGATCATGCTCTTCCTCTCCTAGTCCTGTTGAGACTGGAGCCTGTTCTGGATACCATGGGTCGAGAACTGTACTTTTTTGTCCACCAGGCATCTCAGTGCCTGGAATGGGTCTGGCTTACAAATAACTACACAATGGTAAGCTGTCAGCACCACCCAGCAATAAAGACCGTGTTCCTTGTGAGACAAATTACACCACCAGCCAAACTGGCTGATCAGCAGGTGTGTGAGTATACCACATCTACAGCCAGAGTCTGAAAGCCAGAGGAGATAGCTAAGGAGGAGGGGAATTTGGACAAACACCAAGGTTCCACCCTCTGAATATTGAATGTTAGCCTGTCACACAGATTACATGTGGAAAAATACATCGCTATGACAGGAGATGGAACAAAGTGTGTGTGTTCTGTCTGAATAATAGACATGGTAGTGTGTGTGCATGGAGGGTTGGTGAAGGTCCTCACATTTTATCTGTTCCTGGATTGTCATTCACTTAACACGTATCAATGCTCTTTGAGATGGATATGTAGCTTAGTTGGATTTGGACTTGCTGTGTAGCACCAGGCTGACCTTGAACACTCAGTCCCTCTGCCTCTTCCTCCTAAGTCCTGGGATTATACGTGCATGCCACCATGTTCACCTACCCATTACAAGCCTTGAGAACTTCGTAGCTGGTTCCTAACTAAGAGATCTTAACCTAAGGATCACCCTAGCATGAAAATACCATGAGAGGTGGAAGTGGTTATACAGCATTGTGACTGTACCACTGATTACACAATTGAAGATATTATTTTATATGGTATGACTTCGTATCAATTTAAAAGGAAGAACTGGATAAGGAATGTAACTCAGTGATAGAGCACTTGCCTGCTATCCATGATGAGTGTTGTTTGTTTTTAGTCTTTTCTGAATTTGTTTTGTTTTGTTTTACTCTTAGTGGTGGGGGGTGGGGGGATGGGGAGGGCGCTACCCAACTCCCAAATAAATCACTCATAGAGGCACATTATTACTTATGAATGCCCAGCCTTAGCTTGGCTTAGTTATCCCGACTACCTTTTGCCTCTGGCTTTTCCCCTTCCATTCCTGAATACCTTTCTTTGTTTCTTACTCCCATGACTGGTTGTGTGTGCAGCTAGGTGGATGCCCCTGGAGTCATCCTCCTGTGGCTTCCCAGATTTCTCCTTCTGTTTATCCTCCCTGCCTGCCAGCCCCGCCTATTTCTCTCCTGTCTCGCTATTGGCCATTCAGATCTTTATTAGACCATCAGGTGTTTTATACAGGCAAAGTAACACAGCTTCACAGAGTTAAACAAATGCAACATAAACAAAAGTAACACTCCTTAAAATAATATTCTGCTGCACATGAGACCCTGCATTCAGGCTCCAGAAGGAAAAGACTAGTCCTCAGCCAGCCGTCACTGCACAGCCATTCTGAGAAAGTGCCATTTGGACATTGCCTGCCCTTGAAACTGTTCTTTCATTGACCCAATCTACAGAGAGAAACTGCCTCAAGGTGGCATGGAAAGAATGCCCCAGGAGAGAGCAGAAGAAACTGTCACATAGCTTTCATGTGGTAAAAATACATACATTTGCTATGCCAACTCAGGCATGACAGGAGGTAAAACAGAGTGCGAGTGTCATGTGGGGGCCTGTAAGAAATGAGACCTAGGGCAAGGACAGAGGTAGTTGCTCCCCATTGAATACTTCTTTGGAACATTTTACCTTTTAAACCACATGACTACTTCCAACTCAAAGGATAATATGAAGTGAAGAAGAGCATATTACCTATACAAATAAAGCAATACATGATCTCTGCTAGCCTGTTACAAACAAGCCCTCTGAGGCCAGGCCTGCCTCAGTTCTTGGCCCCTTTATCCACTTATGACTCTCTGAGCCACAGTTTTCTTATCCATGAACAAGGAAGGACACTTCTGGCCTCACATGGCTGGTACAATCCAATTACAAGTAGGACAGCATATAAACCTGGGTGCCCAGAAAGCAGACATGATCTTCTGTCTTATCTGTTCCCTTCTCCACTATTTTGGGTCTGCCCATAGAGGACTCCGCATACCTTTGTGACTCACAGTTTCTTCACAGAGAAAGCTACAGATGGCTCCCTGCAGAGTGAGGACTGGGCCCTCAACATGGAGATCTGTGACATCATCAACGAGACCGAGGAAGGGTAAGGGCCCTGAGGGGGGGGGGTGTGTGGGAGGTGATACAGGCTGTGACAGCCAACTATAACGTAGTACACACCAGCACTGATTCATACCTGTGTCCCACCAGATGATCCTCCCCAGCCCTCTACTGTTGTGGTCACAAAGTCTAACCCTGCTGTGCAGTATCCTGCTCCCATGCTAAACAACAGCATGGCATTTTAAACATCTTTAGACCATAATCCAGTCCACTGCCTTCATCAGGTGGATGAAAAGCTCAGAATTGTGAAGTTCAAAGACACAGTGTGAGCCAGGCAGTGATGACCCACAATTTTAATCCCAGCACTTGGGAGGCAGAGGCAGACAAATCTCTTGAGTTCAATGCCAGCCAGGTCAACAGAACGAATTCCAGGATGACCAGGGCCACATAGAGAAACCCTGTATTGGAAAAAAAAAAAAAAAAAAAAAGGTACAGTGTGTGGCCACCTGGCCCCTAGGTGCTGTGATACACACAGTGTCTCTGAACAGCAGCCCAGATGGCACACAGATCTTGAGCCCCTGCCTTGGTGCATCACCTCCCTGGAACAAACAAAGCCAGCTGAAGATTCACAGTGCCTTTCTGCATGCTGAGAGCTGGAGTCCTAGGACAGCCAGATTTTCTCAAAAAGCAAGAACATACTTTCTCTTCCCTAAGATTAGCAACCAGCAGGGCCACCAGGGAGTTCACAGAGGGCAGTCAGTGAAGCAGAGCAGAGCTGTAGATCAGAGTGGGTACCTTCAGGCAACCAGGTGTGGGGCCCTGGCGTTTGCTCAGAATGCTGAGCCCAGTCAAAGCACATGGTATGGGAGAGGTATTGGATTCCTGTCTTCCTCTGCCTAATGCATGCAGGCCAACTGTGTGATGGGACCATGGACAAATTGCATTACCTCGCCAGGACTTTTTCCTCAAAGGCAGAACTCTGTTAAATCCTGCCAAAACTCTAGCCTAAGTCCTTGAATGGAGCAGAAAGTAGGGTGAGGTGCAGGGTGGCTAGTCATGCCAGGCAGGGAGTGCAGCCAGATGAGGACGTCCTTCCAGTCAAGTGCAGACTGAAGCAAAGGGGCAGGAGGCAAGGAGTGCAGGGAGAACTGGGGGAGACTCAGTTGTGCTGTGTGACTTACTCACACATCTGCATCTAGATTCGGAGTGAGAGTGGGGTGCACCTGGACAGATGTCAGCACCACCAGGAGAGAAGACAGGCAGACATGCTTACTGAGCCTCTGGAAAGGCCTGGCAGCTTTATGGATGGTGTGCCCTAAGTTGCTGCAGTATTTTTGCAGACAGTGTTCCTGTCTCCATGGTGAACTTGGGAAGCACTGTGTTCAGAGTTCATTGGCTGTGTAGCTGTTCATTCGAGCACTTTAAATGTTCCAGACACTGCCCAAGCATCGAGGAGCCAGCAGTCAGCAATGACAGGCACGACTCTTAGCCTCACCAATCTTATCTAAACTTTGTGTCTTTGGTGGATTCATACCATTGCCATACACTTTATATGTGTCACTGTGCATACCTGGTCCACTACCAGTGCTGTTCCCTTTTCTCCAGGCCACTCCATAAGTAGGAGTAAGTAACTTCAAGCACTAAAATGGTCCACAGGTCAGCAATTGTGTCAATCAGCTTTTCATAACTATAACAATGTTCTTGAGATGATCCGCTTATAAAGAGAAAATGTTTATCTCAGTTTTGATTTGGTTTGGTTTTTGTTTGTTTGTTTGTTTGTTTGTTTGTTTGTTTTTGAGACAGAATCTCACTGGCCTCAAATTCACTATGGAGCTGAAGCAGAAGTTTTTATTTTGCCTCACAGTCTTGATGTTGTACATCATAAGAAGTGTGTGATGAGCTACAACCACACACCTCATGGCCAGGGAACAAAAGAAGAGTGACAGGGACCAGGGTTCCATGGTGCCCTTTAAAGTCACATCTCTGATGACAAAAAGACCACTCAGCAGGTTCTAGCTCCCCCCACCCCCATTTATCTACCACACTTTGGATGGAACCCAGGGCCTTTGCACATGCTAGACAAGCACTGCCTCCAGCCTAGGCCCCACCTCAAAGTTTCTGTAGTGTCTCAGCAGTGCTGCTGTGAGGATGAAAGCATTTTTTAAACATGTGGGTTTTGGGGGGACACTCAGGATCCAAACAATATAGCACTGCTGACATCAAGGACTGAAGCCTGCTGCCCCTGGAACTGGCCAGGGAAAGTCAGGGAGCTGTGCAAGGTTCTGAGTACAGGTTGTTCTCACCCTTCTGGACAGGCTCCTATACCTGCCCTAGCCTCTCCACTGTAGCACTGACCCACCTGCACAGCTTTGCCTGCATGTGGGATCCCATCCTGGAGGCCTCTGCCTTTACTTCTGCTAAGGATCTTACCAGGATTCCATACTGCCCCAGTGTGGCCCTTAAAGGTCAGCACTGACAGACAAGCAGAGTCAGAATAAACTTCAAAGCCTCTCTGCCCGGGCACCTGCAGTGGGCCCACTCTGCTGAAAGTCAGTGTTTAAAGGATACTATCTGCTTGCTCTCTAGGAGCTGTCTTCTCTGCCTGGATAGGTTAGTGTTTCCAGACAGGATGCACTGGAGGGAAAGCCCCTTGGGAGTTTCACGGATCACTAGGCCTTCCCTTGGGTTTGGAGCACAGGCAGGGTCCAACAAAAGCCTTCGGGGCAGAGCAGCTCTGGCAGTGCTAGGAAAGGAGTAGTCAGCAGGTGGGACAGGGAGGATAGGTGACCGCAGGCTCTCTGTGGCCACCTGCTGTATGTAGGCGCATCCAGGCTCCTGACCCTCCATCTCCTCTACACTGTTGTCTCCTCTCTGTCCTTCCAAAGCAGCTTCTCCCCACCAAGCTCTCCCTGCACCTGAACCCACTCTCTGGCTGTCCTCCAACTTGTCCTCCCCATTCTTTATGGTTGGCTACCTCCTTGAGTGTCTTTTAGACCCTACTCCATTCTTCCTCAAGACTACTTCTTCCTTCAGTTATCCCAGAATCCTTAGAAGTAGTGTATGTGCACACATGTACACATACACACACATACACGTACACACAAGTGCTTGGTTAAACTTGACAGGAAGATGGATTGTGGAACTGTCCAAAATGTGGCATTAGAACACTCTGCCTGTAGCCCATTTGTTCTTAGCATCAATACCCAGAAGGCCCTAGGAACTGTGGGGTACATGAGAAATAGCAAATTATGGGACTGCCCTACTTGTTGGATTCTAATACTGTCAGCTAAGAAAGGCCTGGGATTCTGTATTTTTGACAAGCACTCATACCTTGCCCAACATGAGTCTGTGATGGGAGGCCCAGGGTCTACCTAGTGCTTGGACTGAGAAGGCCATGGTGGCAGCAGTATCCTGGTGTGATCAGAACCTGGCACACAGGTCAGGCATAGGGAGGAGGGAAGATCCTATCCAGCCTTCCAGCTTTGCAGAGCCTCCTGAGCTTGGGCCCTTAGCCTTCTGTGTTAGGAAAGAGGATTCTATGCCTAAGCCCATCATTCTTTTTGTCCTTTTTACCAGCCCCAAAGATGCGTTCCGAGCAGTAAAGAAGCGAATTGTGGGGAATAAGAATTTCCATGAGGTCATGTTGGCCCTCACGGTGAGTCTGTCTATCCATCCCTCCATGATCGCTCCCATGGCTAGACCACGGTCTGCTGAAAGTTGCTTCTCCTCAGTTAGGTCCAGTGGGGTTCCCACCCATGCTTGAATTCCTCCTCTGAGGACGAGGAAGAAAAGCACCACGGGGAAGATTCATGCTGTTGGTAGAGGTAGATGACAAAGCAAGGGAGCTGGAAAGGAGTTCCTAACCTGAGTTAGGGGAGTAGACATACTGGGGCCACTTCCCTCTAAAACTGCACTCTGAAAAATGAACATAAAGCAAATGTCAGTGTCTAAGAACAGCATTGGCCACAGCACTGAGCCAGGCCAACATGGGCCAAGCACCAGGCATCCATCCTGTCTTTAGGACAGCCTGGCTAGGGAGTAGGTGGGAGAACACCCTGTCCATGCCTCTACCATGTGGTGCTTAGATCCAGATGGTCCTGCTTCCCTGCAAAGCACAGGCAGCTCCTGCTAGGTCATGGGGAGAGAAGGTTGGTGCTTGGTCCTTGAGTCATAATGTTACCTACCAATAGGGGAAGCTCAAGTTGTCTCCGATTCCTCCTGGAGAACATCTGACACTCTAGGCCAGTGTTTCTCAACCTGTGACTCAGAACCTTTCACAGGGGTCACACATCAGATATCCCATGTATCAGATATTTACATTACAATTCATAAAACAGCAAAATTACAGTTATGGAGTAGCAATGAAAATGATTTTTATAGTTGAGAGTCACCACAACATGAGGAATTGTATTAAATGGTTGTAGCAGCATTAGGAAATTGAAAACCACTGCTCTAGATCATGTGATCTAAAAAGTAGGGTTATGTTATAACAGGCCCTGGTCTAGCAGGAAGGGAGTCCTGTCTGTCACATCATTCTGTATGTCGCAGTCTAAGAGGAGGGAAGCCCCCAGATGTAGCACTGCTCCCATCCCCATGTCCTAGAAGATCCCTTCTGGAAGCCTCCTCTCCTCTGCTTGGCTTCCCTCTGGGATAGAAGAGGAGCCTCACTGGAGTGGCAGCCCATTTCCTCTCCTCTGAGTACTCTCTTGGCACCTTGACCTACAGGTCTTGGAAACATGTGTTAAGAATTGCGGACACCGCTTCCATGTACTGGTGGCCAGCCAGGACTTTGTAGAGAGTGTGCTGGTGAGGACCATCCTGCCAAAGAACAATCCACCCACCATCGTGCATGACAAGGTGTTGAACCTCATCCAGGTGCGCTCTTCTCTTTGACAGGGTGGAGAGGCTTAGTGACCTCAAGGGGATGGGGAGTGCCGGGGCTAGTGTTCCTCTCTCTGCTGGTCGACTGCTTATGTGTGCAGCAGGCCTTAGCACTGTCTGCTGACCCTGGTGCAGAAGGAAGGGGAGGGAAGCACTTTTGTCCTCTGCCTAAGTGCCAGGGTGGGGAAGGCTCACAGACAAGAAGGTGAGCAGTGGTTACCGGCCATGTCCCCTTGTCCCCTCTCAGTCCTGGGCTGACGCGTTCCGCAGCTCGCCTGATTTGACAGGTGTCGTTGCTGTCTACGAGGACCTGCGAAGGAAGGGCCTGGAGTTCCCCATGACTGACCTGGACATGCTGTCACCCATCCACACACCCCAGAGGGTGAGGAGAACTTTGAGTGGGGCAGGAGTTATTCTGAGGGCCTACAGTGCCCTTCCAGGAGGGCTTCACTTACCCTGTCTTTTGCCCCCTAGACTGTGTTTAACTCAGAGACACCATCCGGACAGAACTCTGTGGGCTCTGACACCAGTCAGCGAGGAGACCTGAGCCAGCATACCACCCCTCTGCCCACTCCAGCTGTTCTCCCCGGTGACTCACCCATCATGCCAACTCCTGAGCAGGTACACAGACAAGGTCCAGGGAGGCAGTGGATATCACCCATCATGCCAACTCCTGAGCAGGTACACAGACAAGGTCCAGGGAGGCAGTGGATATGGCCCTTAGCACCAGAAATTCCTTTGTCCTCCCAGAAGCCCACAGATGAATACTGTTCTTCCTGTGTTCAGGATAAGATTTAGATAGATAAATCCATTCACTCAGGGGCTGGGGAAATGGCTCAGAGGTTAAGAGCACCGACTGCTCTTCCAGAGGTCCTGAGTTCAATTCCCAGCACCCACATGGTGGCTCACAGCCATCTGTAATGAGATCTGGTGCCCTCTTCTGTGTATATAATAAATAAATAAATAAATCTTTAAAAAATAAATAAATAAAATAAAAAATCCCCTCAAAATCACACGGCTCATCAGAATCAGCCGAGATTCCAGTTCCAATCTGTCTGTACTGGAATGCAGTCCAGTACCTCTGTCATTTTCCAAACTCTTCCTTCCATGGAGCCCTCTGTGGAGCACCAAGGAGAGGAAATGGCCAGCAGCAGGGAAGCAGTCCCTTTCACTTGGGCCACTCCACTGTGGTAATGGGCTCACAGAGAATTTCATCTGAATTGAGATTCTGGTTGAGGACACCTTAAAGGATCTGTATGCTTGCTGGGGTTGGTGACACACCTTCAATCCCAGCATTGGGAGATAGAGGTAGATGGATCTGTGTGAGTTCAGGGCTTCATAGTAAAACCCTGTCTCAGAAAGAGAGGGAAGAGAGGGAGGGAGAGAGGGAAGGAGTAAGAGAGAGAAAGAGAGAGAAGACAGGAGAGAGAGAGATGCACAAAATGAGAAAGACTACACTGAGGCCTCCCACATGCCTCACGGAGAAGCTTGGAGGCCTAGCATAAGAGTCTGGGGAAGTTTCCCTAGCCTGGGGTTAGCTCTAGAGAGTCACCTGCCCCAGACCAGGTGGCTATAATCTAGATCATCGGTCCCTTGAGATGTGGTACTGGGCTGGACTTGAGGCCTTCACAGACCTTAGACCATCATCAGTGAAGCATACTTCACTTAGCTGCTAAGTGTGCTGGAGGTAAAGATTCACAAACATGATGCAGATGAGAAGCTTCATTCTAAAGAACTGTTTCCTGACCACTTGTATGCAGTGCACAGTCTCAGCCCCACAGAGAAATGTCCATGATATCTTATAGCAAGTTATGAAACCGAGCACCACAGCAAACATGACTAGAGAAGGTTGGCATGCTAAGAAGTAATTAAAGCCTACAAAACTGTAAAATTACCCTCCTGTCAAAAACAATTCTCTACCTTGCTTCTAGTTTTAACTAGTATTCCTAATGTCTGTATATTAAGACTGATTGATTACTTTAGTGCTCTTAGAAGGTTCTTGCTAAACAAAACTGAGTATTTTTGTTTGATTTCATAGCCCCTTTTCCCTCTTGGGGCATGTTAAGATGTTGTAGTTTAGTGATGTAACTCCTAGGCTCCTTTGTGGTTAGGTCCCTTTGGGTTTGGATGTGGCAAATTGGTGATGAACAGCTTGTCCACTCACACCGAGAAAGTTATTAAACAAGTCATCCTGCCTGGCACTGTGGGGTGTGCTGTTGGTCAACTTCAGTGGATATAGTACTTGTCTCTGCATGCCTGTTTCTTCATCCTCAAGCTCTTTAAAGGTGGCTGAGCCTACTTGTGATGGTATGTGTTCACTGCTTGGCACTTAGTCACACAATTTAGAATATACCAGTATTTCCCAAAATGTACTCTTCTAGCCACTAGACTCATGAGCTATCCCATTATAAGAAAGTCTTGATCCAGATACATTTGGGGGAGCCTTCATATGATTCTCAGCATTCAAAGTGGACACAGTGTCATGAGCATACAAAGTTCCTTGGGGTTCACAAAAGATACTATACAGTGCTCCTCACAACTTAATCTGTTTGAGGACTCTGACCACCTTCATTGTTATGTGTCCCCAGGCCTGGAACCTTGACTCCCTTTGACTACTAGTACAAGTATAGGATCTGAGTTTCATGTTCAAGTGGATAGCAGGCCTGGAACATATTTTTTTTTTTTTTTGGATGAGCCTGGGCCCAAACATGGACCAGAGACAAGAAAGAACCCCAGTTCTCTTAATGGAGGGAAAGACATAGAACCCACTCTGTCCTCCAAGACACAAGGGGCCTACAACTTTCCCACTCCCTTGGGAGAACTGCCACTCCCTAGAGCCTCATTAATTGCCATCTTGGCCCCGAAAGATGCTGGCGCTCTCCCAACCACACTCACCGGCTTATTCCCCTCCGATTGTCACACTTCTTCCAACCTCCTCCCTGCACCCGGCTCCTGGTTTGGAGATGGCAGCGGTTGGTAGCACCTCTGTGAGGGGACTGTGTGGTGGGATGCACCCTCTGCTGGCTCTTGAGTATAGACCGTCCCCAGAAGTCAGGAGAGAAGCTGTGTGGAGAAGGTGTTGGTGGGGCAGTTCTTGGGCTACACGTCTGTTGGAGCAGCATGGGCTCTAAATTCTGGCTTCTCTCCCCTTATTATGCTGCATTTCAGATTGGGAAGCTGCGCAGTGAGCTGGAGATGGTGAGTGGAAATGTGCGAGTGATGTCGGAGATGCTGACAGAGTTGGTGCCCACCCAAGTAGAGCCTGCAGACCTAGAACTACTACAGGTGAGCAAACAGCCTGCCTACAGGTTCAGCCCCACCCAGGTGCCCCTGTGTGCATCCATACCTGCTTCTTCCTGCCCACACTGCAATCTTTTGGTTATGCTGGGAGCCCTGAGGCAACAGAAAATATTACAGAGAGGAACCTTGGATTTGCATCAGATGGGAATTTAGATCTTAATTCTGCTGCTTTCCAGCTTGAACAAAATAGCCCCCATTTTCTCCATCTGTGTGGCTGCTTTGATACAAGTGGGAGATGATAATTAAATGAGATAGTACATGTGAAACGTAGTCCTACACCCAGTACTGATAGCATGAACAGTACTTCAAAAAGCTGGAAGGGCTGATTTCCACCTTTCACAGCATTTGAGGGAACAAGCAGAGGCACAGAGCAATGTGAGCTTTGAGAGGAGTGAGCATCTGATCTTGGGGAGCTGAGGCAAGTGGGAAATGCTGGATTTTGCTCCCAGGTGTCATGTGATATTCACCTGATCCTGTCCACATATGGGGTGGGGTACTGGAGTGAAGAGAGCTAGGCTGCCTTCTTCCTGTGGAGGCCACTCAGGGAAGCAACCGCCAAAGCTTAGGAGTCTCCAGAGTGCATGGAGGGACAAAATGTTGTGTGTGCAGAATGCTCAGTGTGCTGTTCATGCACCGCCCTCCTACCAGCCTGGTCTTTATGTCCCTGTGACTGCTAAGAGATCTGTATACTTGGGAGGATGGGAGGATGGAGGAGGACACACTAGGACTATCTTAGCTGAGTAGACTCTTGAATGTGAGGACTAGATGAAGAAAAGGGTTGATGAAGGATTGTTGTTAGTTGTATTTGTCCCAGGCCATGTCCATCTGGATATGTGCAGTCTGAGATACTCAGAAGGCTGGAGCAAGCTGGCAGGGTGACACAGAGTCAGTGCCCACTGGGTGCACTGCATGTGTCAAGCTCAATGTAGGTACTTGATATACATTCACTCATAGCCCTGACTGCACCCATTCACCAGATCAGGACACTAAGGCAAAGAGAGGTCATGTAACATGCCTAGGGTCATGTGGCTGATAGGTAGCAAAGTTGGGATTTGTGACTTGGAGCAACAGCTTCAAGCTGTGTTCTTCTGCTGTCCGGAGAGACCCATTAGGAAGCAGAGACTAATCCTCAGGTGTGCTTCATCATGGGAGGAAGAGAAGGGAGCCCAGGGATGTTGAAAGTCACCCTGAGCAGATGAAAAAAATGAAGGAGGCCTGACTTAGGAGTGGGTAGGGAACAAGGTCTACAGGAAGCCAAAGATTGGTGCAGAGCCTCATCTTTGATCCCCACAAGAGAAAGTATGCTGGCATGTGGCCAGGGGCCATGGTCACGTGACAGGCACTGGGGGAAGAAGTGACCAGCCTTACCAGTTGTCTATAAACCAAAGGAAGTTTTATCTTTTTCTTTATTTTTGAGTCAAGGTCTCATTATGCAGCCAAAGCCAGTCTTGAGTGTTCTCCATTCCCCTGCCTTGGCCACTGACTGCCAGGGTTACTAGCCTCACACCCAGCCTCTTAATATTTTTCTTTTTCCAAAGCAAATTTAACTGTGATTGAAAGTCAATCAGTAACATGAAGACTAAATGCAGTGTAGGATCCAGAAACAGAGAACAGATGTTAGCAGAGAAAGTGACAAAACATGAACACGCAGTTTAGTCAATGCCGATGTTGATGCCTTCGTTTGGATCAATGTCTAACCGGGTGAAGGCACACGGGGCCTCGGGGCCATCACTGCAGCAGCTCTGCAGTGCACCTGAAAAACTGTCCCCAAACAAGTTTGTCAAAAGAAAAAACAAAGTCAGTCAATGAGAATAATGAGGCAAAGACTCAAAATCGGGATATGTGGGGTAACAGAAATCACGACTTGTTCATACACCCCCAGCCCCATCCTCAGGCCTGTCATCACCGTCACCCTCTTTTGTTCTTCCCTTTGGTGAGCGTTTTTTTGTGCATGGTGTGTGTAAGAGTGAGGACACGTGAATACCGTGGCATGCATGTAGAAGTCAGAGAACAGCTGCAGAGAGTTGGTCCTCTCTTCCACTCTGTCTGAGACTGTCTCTTTGTTTGTGCTGCTTCACCACATGTGCCAGACCAGCTGGTCCAGGAGTCTGAGGTTTGTTTGGTTTTTGTTGTTGTTTTGGTTTTCGAGACAGGGTTTTTCTGTGTAACAGCCCTGGCTGTCCTGGAACTGGCTTTGTAGACCAGGCTGCCCTTGAACTCACAGAGATCTGCCTGCCTCTGCCTCTGCCTCCCAAGTGCTGGGATAAAAGGTGTGTGCCACCACGCCCAGAAAGTCTGAAGTTTTTTTTAAGGAAGCAAACATGTTGGCAGAAATGTGACTCTTCAGTCTGCGTGCACTCTCATTAAACTGGCAGAATCATTAACATGATGAGTTCCTGTACTTTAAATGTTAGTGTGAAACCTCCAGAAGCTGTGGATCACTTGAGGCCAGGAGCTCCAGACCAGCCTAGGCAACATAGTAAGACCCCATCTCACAATTAAAGAATGTAGTTACACTGTAACACCCTGAGAAGTGATCTTGAAAACAGGTTTGTAGAACCCCAAAGGCTGTTGTGTGGTGCCTTGAAGACCTTCCTCCAGGACAGGCCCAGACTGAAATACCATCCATGAGGGAGAGCCTTGTCCTGTAGTGTGGCCTCAATGTCCCACTTCTCCCTGCAGGAACTGAACCGCACCTGCCGCGCCATGCAGCAGCGGGTTCTGGAGCTCATCCCACGCATCTCCAATGAGCAGCTGACCGAGGAACTTCTCATGGTCAATGACAACCTCAACAATGTGTTTCTGCGCCATGAACGGTAGTCCACAGTCATTTTCCCTGTTCAGGCACCAGCAGGCTACCAGGGGCATGTGCCTTGAGCTCCCTGCCCATCACTGAGACACCTGGGTAGTAAGGGGTCATGAAAGCAGGCAGCAAAGCCCTCTGCTTGCCTGGAAACGGTTTATTGTCTGTCCGCCTCCCACTCTGTGGGCCTCTTTTCTGTCTTTCCCCACTTGCCCTGTGGTTTGCAGTCCGTTGAGAGGGCCCTGGGCCCCTGAGACCAACAACTGACCACCTTGTCCCGTTCATTAGCCCAGTAGAATGTAGGACCTCCTTCTCGCCATCTTGTGTGGTAGACCCCCAATACCCTAGCATTAAGCCCCTAATTCACCAGTTTGTTCCAGTGCCAGCCACTGCTACTCATTTTCTCAACTAAGTCATCACCTGAGCTGGCAGGCAGGTGCCCAGAGACGTTAGACCAGAAGATGAATTCAGAAATGATGTCCTTTACACCAGGCCACAACTCCAACAGAGTGCACACTAAGGTCTTCTCCATCCATCTCCTCAGCCCCTTGGTAGTCAGGGTTAGAGACAAGTGGCCATCTTGGAGAGCTACCCACACATTCCCCAAGTGTGGAGTAGGTGGATAACTGAGACACTTGACAAAGCAGCACTCCCCTCTGCTTGCTGAGTGTCCCTTTCTTTTCTCTGTGTTCTTGTCTGTTGTTTCTTGCTGACACTTACAGGGTGGCCCTATAACTGATCCTATCCAACCCTTGTGCAAGTTGAAAGACGGCTGGGTTAGAGGTGACGGGGGACAGTAAGGATGCCCTGGATCTGTTAGGGAGGACCAGTATATCTCATCACCCTGGTAGCAACCTGCGATTTCAAAACCTCCTAGGGGTTTTCTGGGGACTGTGTCAATTTGACCTTTTGACTGGGGTCTTTTGTGTCGTGTAGGTTTGAACGGTTCCGAACAGGCCAGACTGCCAAGGTAAGAGGCATGTCTTCTGGGACTAGATCGTGCTGTATTGATAGGAAGCCCTACACAGGGAACTGGTGCTTTTTAGGCTCATAGAGAAGTTTCTTCTGACTTCTTATACCACTGCCCCTTTAAGGGAAATAAGGCTCTGCCACAACCAGCTGGTACCTCAGGGCCTTCCCAGCCTCCCAGGGATATAGCTAAGCTGGAGCCCAAGTGGAGGGGGAGAATCTCCCCAGCTCCAATTCAGAGATGCTGGGGCCTGGAGGCAGAATCACTGCATCCAGAAAGTATCATCCAGGCATCTCCCTTCATCTCAGGCCTCCAGTGAAGCCGAGCCAGCCGCTGACCTGATTGACATGGGTCCTGACCCTGCAGCCACCAACAACCTCTCATCCCAACTGGCGGGAATGAGTAAGTATGTTGAGGGCTCCAGCCAAGGGTATGTTACAATGCATATGTAGCCTCAAAGTTCTGGGGGTGCCTTCCTGTACTCCCCAACAGTAGTTCATTGGTCCAGGTCTCACTTTGCTGGGAGCCCAAGCCAAATCTTGCTGCAGGGTTGGGCACTTGATAAAAAGCTTGTGAGAATGCCCTGGGAGCACCAATGCTTCTGAACCCCTTGGATCTAGTAAATCCCACTGTGCTCTGACCATACCTCATGCCCCCCACCTGAACAACCTGAGGGCATCAGGACAGTCTGATGCTCAGCCTCAGGAATTAGTTCCTCCTTGAAGAAAGAGTGGGAGGGAGAACAAGAGACTGCCAGAAACAAGCTTCCATCAGGGCTGAGCCAGAATGCACTCCATGTTTTGATGGTACTTGGGGATAAAACCCAGGGCCTTGCACATGCTAGACAAGTATTCTGCCTCTGAGCTATACTCCCAGCTCATTTATTGATTTCCTTTGGTGTTTTGTTTTGAGAAGAGTAGATAGTTTAGGTTTTATTTGATTTTGGTGGCTTTTGATCATTTGTTTGTTTGTTTGTTTGCTTGTTTTTCAAAACAGGGTTTCTCTATATAGCTTTGTCTGTCCTGGAACTCACTCTGTAGACCAGGCTGGCCTCAAACTCACAGAGATCCACCTGCCTCTGCATCCTAAGTGCTGGGATTAAAGGTGTGCCACCACCACCCAGTTTGACCCAGGTTGTTGCTAAATGCTTAGTGGCCCGTCTAGGTTAGCCTTGAACTTTCTCCATCTTCCAGCCTCAGTTCCCTGAAGGCTGAGATTACAGGTGAGTGCATCTCCCTGTACTCTTGATAAATGTGAGCAGTTATTTCCCTGATCTTTTTGTTGTTGTTTTTTTCCTTTGGTGTTTTGTCTTGTTTTGTGCCATGCTGGGGATTAAGCCTAAGGCCTGAAGTATGCTAAGCAAATACTCTACCACTGAACTGTATTCCAACCCTTTAATTTTGAGACAGGCCCTCACAAGGTTCCTCAAACTGTCCTTGAATATGCTTCATTGTAATCCAGGCTAGCCTCAGTTTCTCCTGGGGCTGGGATTACAGACCTGCACCACCAGGCCTGCTTGAGATTGTAATGTTACTTGAGGGTGTAATGGTGTTGACTGCTTGCTCCAAGCCAAGCCCCACTTTGAATAACTGATACTACACTTGTGAAAAGTCGGATCTCATCACTGTCATGCTGACCAGCCTCTTCCACTAGTACGGTGGTGATCCCCAACCATAGTTATTTCATTGCTACTTTATAATTGTAACTTTGCTACAGTTATGAATCATAATATAAATATCTGACATGCGACCCCTGTGAAAGTGTTCAACCCCCAGAGGGGTCACAACCCACAGGTTGAGAACTGCTGTTCTATGTCACAGGCAGCCGTTTTTCCTGTTCTCTAATCCTCACCACAGCCAGGAGAAGGTGATTGTGCGACCACCTTAGAGATGAGTACACTCAACAGAAAGGAAATCCAACTCCCACCACCTAACCCCTAATACTCTTCCAACAGATAGCCCTAGACCCAGATGGGACATGGAAAGAGCAGGTGGATATCTCACCTGGCCTTTCTGTCTCTGCAGACCTTGGCTCCAGCAGTGTGAGAGCTGGCCTGCAGTCTCTGGAGACCTCGGGTCGCCTGGAAGATGACTTTGACATGTTTGCTCTGACTCGGGGCAGCTCGCTGGCCGACCAACGGAAAGGGTAAGTTTCCTGTTCCATCCTGCTCTCCTGCAAACGGGGGCTCTCCATTGGTGAGAGCATCGTTCAGGATCCCTGAATCTGGATTGGAAGTGGGCAGGCAGGAGAAAAGACACACAGTCCCTAAGTTCAGTCCAGCATGGCCTGGCAAGCACTGTGATCCTTAGACAGAAAGGGATGAGCAGGAAAAGGATGCTAGCATCTGACCAGAACCAGAACCAAGGCTGGCCATAAGCCATGGGACAAGTGGCTAGCATTTGGCAGCACCAGTTTGGGAGCCTTTGGCCATTTGTCCAAAACAATGTGTCTGGCTGGCCCACCGTCTTATGTAATATGCAGCCAGTCCCAAGCCCCCAGGGGCAAGGAAGGCCCTTCGCAAAGCCTTACGGGCTTCCAGGTCTTGACTGTCCCATAGCCACCCCTATCCCCAGAGGAGACTCTGGCTCCATTGGTGTATGTCTTTCCGTATGAGCTATCCATTTTCAGAGAGGTGCTGTCACAGCCAGAGCCTATAATGGAGCTGCTTTCCAAAGGCCACTCCCTGCTTTGGCTGATCTCATGCTGGCTCCACATGTGCTTGTCAAAGGAAATAGTTTAGCTGCTATTTCTTATCCCTTTGCTTATGACCCCCTTGGCTGAGATGTAGGCATCTATGGTTCTTACAACCAAGGAAAGTTCTAGATTAAAGAAGCCTCCTAAATGTTCCCACATGACTCCTTAGTGACCATTCTGTCTTTGGGGGCACTGGCCAGAGGGAATTCCCTGTGCACACTGCAGATCCAGGTGAAATCTGACAGTCTGCAGCCAGCGGATACATATTGAGGTGTGAACCAGGTTTGCCTTTACCCTAAGCCGTCTGGACTCCCAAGCCCAGAGGCTCTGGGATTAGCAGCTTACAATCGCCATGGAGTTACAGGTGCTGCTGAAGCAGCTATGCAGATGAAAGCTAATGAGTCTAGTGGGACCCACACTCAGGAGTGGGGCCTGTCCACATAGGCCCCGGGCACACTGGAGAGTACCTTGTGTCGAACCGGTCTGCCAGCATGGCTGGGATATGCTGTTGCACCTCTTCCCTCCATGGGGAAGGCACACATGCACCTGCCCTTTCAGGCAGCAGTCTTCATGTAGTGGTGTGCATGGCCATTGTTGTGTGATACAGGGCTTGACTGGCGGGGCAGGCAGCTCTTCAGAGGGCTCAAGGCCAGACGGGTTTAGGGAGCATTTCAGGTTCTAGGAACAGCATGTGCAGATGCTTGGAGGTAAGGTGAAAGGGCTGAGCTCTGGCCCTTTGCTGGGCACAGGTCTGAGAAAGGGAGCAGACACTGAGGGGACTTCACAAAAGTTCTTCCTCATGTTGGCAATAGGGGGCAGCAGGGCCAGGGGAAGCGTTTCCTAGCAGACTTGTGCCTCTGAAGCTCCCTTTGGCTGCCATAGCCATTCTGCACCCTCTCGGGCCTTTGTCTTGCCTGTCCCCTCACTACACTTGCAGCCACCTCTCACTACAGAATGCACCCACAGAGACAGGACTGGGCCCTAGCCATGAAGTCCTTGTCCTTTGTCCTCCCATGTAGTCACCTGGATAACCTTTTCTGCCCAGATAGTTTCCTTACCCGCTCAGCCTTCCTCCCACTCCAGGGTGACCTCTTACTTCCTGTACTTCAGTCACACCACATACTCCTTCCCTGTCTTCATCTTCCAATAGCCAGGTGCCAGTCCCACCCCTCTCAGCCCCAGCCTTCCACCTGCCTGGCTGCCTGGCCTCCCTTTGGGGATGTATAGAGGAGCTGTAACCAATCCATCAGAGAGGTAGGGAGCCTTCCTAATGGTGAGCCAACGTCAGATAGGCCTCAGCGCTTACATACTCATTTTGGCAGTAGAAGGGACTCTTCCATTCAAATGCACCCTCAAACAGAACCACAATTTATGAAATTCAGATGGGAACTGCTCAAAAAGGAACCTATGAAAATTCACCATGGGCATAGGGTCACAGTCTATTTCCTAGTCCCTCAACTCGGCCCAGAGTGGTCACAACCATGTGTGATCTTGTTCCTGGTCTTTGGTCAAGTGCTGCTCCTAGATTCTCATGCATGATTGATGCAAATCATTATGGGGCACATATCTGAGCATAATCCCCAGTAGGAGAAAATGGAGCCCCTTCTTCCTGCCCCGGGCTTGGAGAGAAGGAGCCTCGGGTTAGGTCATCCTGTGACCTGAGCCACTCCTGCCCAGGCCAGCCCAAGTCTAGCTTACCTGGTCCCCTTAATCCTCACATTGCCTTTCAGGCCTGGTGTGGTCAGGCAGCATCTGATGCCTTGCTGCTTTGTATTTCAGGGTCAAATATGAAGCCCCCCAAACCACAGATGGCCTGGCTGGGGCCCTGGATGCCCGGCAGCAGAACACCGGAGCGGTAAGCATAGAGGTCCTGTTTTACCCAGAGTCTGCCAAAAAGAAGGGACTCTGGGCCCACTGTGAGCTCAGCACTGGCTTGGCACAACCTTTCCCATTTGACTCTCAGTTGGCCCTTTGTGGCTAGTGTCATTATTCCCAATGGAGAGCCAAGGAGGCACTTACCCAGCAAGGATTCAGACCCAATCCTGCCTCGGGAGCTGGTGTCCAATGTGGTCCTGGGTTCACATCCTACTTCATCAACTGCCAGCTTTGGGTCATCATGCAAATTAACCCACTGGCCCTGTTTCATCCTCCTTACCTGGAACTTTTAACAGCAATAGTAGTTGAGAGAAGCCTGTGAGAGAACAGCACTGTCACTAATAGCAGCATGGGCAGAGGGAATAAAATGGAGACCCTAGAACAATAGTCAGAATTCCCAGGCACTCTGTCTGTCTATTTGTTTGTTTGTTTGTTTGTTGTTTGAGACAGGGTTTCTCTGTGTAGCCTTGGTTGTCCTATAACTCACTCTGTAGACCAGGCTGGCCTCGACCACACAGAGATCCACCTGCCTCTGCCTCCCAAGCACTCTTTTAAGTCCAATTAATTCCTTGACTGTGTGTTGAGGCCCAGATTGAGCATTCTGTGGCCACCCTCCTCAGTGGTAAGATCTTCAAGTATAATCTATAGTGAGCCAAGTCAGTGGGAGTGTGGGAGAGCTAGAAACAGCACACCGACTTAGAAAATAGAGGAGAGCAAGGAGGTCACAGAGGAGGATTGTGGCAGATGGACTCTGAGGCCAAGTGGGCCTGAGAAGTGGAAGAAGAAGTCTAAGTGGTGGCTAAGACAATGGGCATTGTCTTAGGTGAGGTAAAAGTCATTTGAAAGCCTTGGACACAGGAGAAGGAAACCAGAGCTCCATTAGGAGATCCTGCTCAAATGGGGCAGGATCTGGTGATTCCCAGGAACTCTCCATCTGCATTCATGTGCCTCCTATCTCCTTGCTTGGGGTCCATTTCAAGTCAGAGCAGAACAGGCACAAAACACTGGGACATCAGCGCCACTTTGAGATCTTTGGCAGCAGTAAACTCTGCAGCTCACACACAATTGAGCCTGTATGATAATGAGTATTCAGAGACGGGTAATGTCTGGGGGGCGCTCACCAACCTAAGACAGTGCCTGTGTGGCCTGGGCAGGCGTCTCCATGATGGGTAAGGTGCCCTGCTGACGTCCCATGCAACCTGAGTCAGAAGCTCATTTATTAGTAAAAGGGGGACCTGTAGGGCCCTGGCCCCCATTTTAGATAACTGCTGCCTTGCTTGCTGACCTTGACCTTGATATCCTCCCTATGCTAATTCCCTCCCTCACCCTCCTGAATGCTTAAGAAAAGTTCCTTGTCTGTGTATCCTGCATAATGGGCGTTAACAGCTTAGATGCAAAATTGTAAAACATCTGTAGCGAACTTCTGCCCTCCAAGGTTCTCCCATTGTGCTGTAAGCCTGTATTCAAGACCTCCTCCCTCCTTCAATAAACGACATTGGTCATTTAAAAAAAAAAAAAAACAAAAAACACTGGGGCATGCTGGGCAGTGGTGGCGCACGCCTTTAATCCCAGCACTCGGGAGGCAGAGGAGGATCTCTGTGAGTTCAAGGCCAGTCTGGTCTACAGAGCGAGATCCAGGCCAGGTACCAAAACAACACAGAGAAACCCTGCCTGGGGGGAGGGGGCGGGGGACCACTGGGGCAGGCTTCATGGAGTACAAGGGCCTCCATTGGGTATGACAGAGCACACCTGCACTGGGCCTTAGTGCCTCTGCATGCTTTTGAGCCATCACTGTTGAGCCTGTGCTCTGTGCTTGGCCCTATGCCAAACCCTCATGTTCCCCTCCTGGGAGTCACACACAGTCCACTCTTGCTGCCACCCAGAGATGGAGGCATCTTCCCAGGAGAAGTACGTCGCCAAAAGCATAACCAGTGTTGTGTTTCCAGGCTCCACAGCTGTAGGCACAGTGGGAAACAAGCACAGCTCCACTCACTGACAAGCATGAGCATTCTTACTCTCTCTCCCCTTTCCTTGGGCCAACCATCTGTTGGATGCAATTTTTGAAGACCAAGCCAGCACCCACTCTCAAGGGCTTATGTCTGACTAGAGGCAAGGCAAGGCACATAATTCACTCACTACCTGGATGTGATTGCAAGATCAAAGTTCAAACTGGACCTGGTAGGCAGTGCCTTTGTCCAAGACTCAGCAGAACTGACAACTTGTGTGATATACATTGCTGCACCAAGGGCCAGATTCTCTCCTTCATTCCCCGGGTGCAGCAGTGGGCTGGGCCTACTCGGTCTGTGTCGAGTGGACAGGGAGGTCAGTGCATAATGGGCTGGAGCCCCTCCACCACCCACCTGCTCTGGGGCCTAGAAAGCCAGTGGACAAAGCAACTTTTCTGTAACTTGGATGCCCCTCAGAAGCCCTTGGCCAGTCACCAATCTGGCTGATAGCTTCTATTCTTCAGCTTTGAGTATGCAGGCCACCCTTTGGGATTCCCTGGGAATGGCAAGGAGTTCATTGCTGTTGTTTTTGTTTTTAAGATTTATCTATTTATTATGCATATAGTGTTCTGCCTGCATGTATCCCTGCAGGCCAGAAGAGGGCACCAGATCTCATTATGGATGGCTGTGAGCCACCATGTGGTTGCTGGGAATTGAACTCAGGACCCCTGGAAGTGCCCTTAACCACACTGACCCCTCTCTCCAGCTCTCACTGTTGTGTTTTTGTTTTTGTTTTCTCTTCACATTGCCCCAGTCTAGAAGCTCTGGGCTCCTACCACCATGGTTCTCCCGCAGTGAGGCACCCTGGGTAGCTTCCTTTGGCTCTGCTGCCATACCTGTGTATGCACACACCTACACACACAGTCATATATGTGCACATGAACATCTAGGTGGAAGAGGCTGCCAGCCCACCACTGGCCCTGAACTCAACCCTGCTGCCTGCCACCCTGGTGAGGCTCTTTACCTGAAATGAGAGAGAGATAGTGTAAAGAACCTAATAATCAATGGTCAGACAAATCATATGAGCAAGCACCAGGCCACAGAATTGGTACTAGGGAGCATGACCCTGGGCAGCCTCAAGAGAGGAGGGCTAAGGCTCAGATTCAAGCACTCCTTCCTCCAGCAGGCAAGGGACAGCAGTTAGCTGAACAGGCCTGGCCTGCCAAGAGCACCTGCTGCTGGAACAGGGCTATCCCCCGCCTCTTCCCTGTACTGGGTGATAAGCTTGGGCCCTAAACTGGTTTGGTCAGAAACTCTAGCTCTCCTCTGTCCAAAAGCTGCCAAACAGGAGCTTAGAGTTCCCAGCCCTCCTCTGTAAAGGCTCTCTGCTGGACTTACCTCCTCCTAACAGCACTCTGGATGGCAGTTGTATTATCAGGTGAGGAAGACAAGTATAAGAACATTATGCAGGATGCCACGAGTGCTTCAAAGACCATAGCAGACCGTATGTATGCTCTGACCTCCAACCAGATTGCCACTGTGGAAACAGTTAACAGAAAAAGACCCCAACCTCTGTTCCTTTTAGGAGCCATCATGTGAGAGCCCATGTGTTTGGGCCCAGAGTCAAATGTTCCCATCTAGAAAGCTGCCCCTGAGACCACCAGCCTGCCCTTTCTGGAACACTCAGACCCTCCTTCCTCTTGGATCCTACTGTTTCTGCTTCTGCCATTAACTGAATCTACCAAGGTGCCTGGAGACAGAGCCTCTTTGGCATTGCTCTGAGCACAGGTGACCAGGGTTGTCCTTGTCCTGGTCCATGGCATAAAACCCCCCTCAGCTGGAACACCTCCCCACACATCCCGTTGTCGGGACCAGATGTACATTCTCTCCATGTAGGAAATGGTTCCTTTGCCCCTTGCCTACTCCAGCTGCTGGGAGCACAGTCCCTGCTTATTCTGCTGGATCTGTGTTCCTTCACCTACAGCCTGGCACCACTGCAAAGAGGTCCTAGGCAGCTGGAACAGGTAATCCCAGGATGTGTACCCCAGCAGGAGGCAGAGGAAACTCAGATCAGGGTGGGTGAGTGAATTTCAAGGACCACTCAGCTTCCTTCACAGCAACCAGACCACTGCCCCTCCCTGCCTCACTGCTACCTTCCTTCCAGATCCCTGCCACCCAGGCCCGCATCATGGAGGACATTGAGCAGTGGCTGTCCACAGACGTGGTAAGTTGGGGCTCACTCTTCGCCTAACAAGGAGGGATCCCTTTGTCTTGTAGAGGGCCTGGTGTATAACTGGTGAAGAGAGATAAGTATTAATGTCCTCATCTGGTTCCCCAGTGTCCTCCCCCAGGCAACAGCCTCCCTGTCCCAGATCACACCTCCAGTGTGAGGTCCCTACACGTGTCAGCTATCATTCGGGAGATGACATTGGTTATAGACCAAAAGGGGTACTAAACCGTGTCCCCACAATAGCCCCTGGAGACCTAAAGCCACTCAGAGGGAGGCATCATTATCACCCCATTTCATATCAAAAAAGGTCTGGAGAGATGGCTCAGTGGATAAGAGCACTGGCTGTTCTTCCAGAGGTCCTGAGTTCAATTCCCAGCAACCACATGGTGGCTCCCAACCATCTGTAATGAGATCTGGCGCCCTCTTCTGACATGCAGGCAGAACACTGCATACATAATAAAATCTTTTAAAAAAAAATAAAGGTTGATAACTGCAAGGGACCCAGCTCCTGGCCACCACATTTCTAAAGGGGCACGACCAGAAGACAGAAGTCCTGAGCCTGGCATCAGGGCTTCTCCCCAGCTTCTGCCACCACCTCTGTGGACATTAAAGACCCAGTGACAGCTTGAGTACTTCCCTTCCAAAGGCTGCCATCCATAAGCAGCAAGACTTTGTTTTTACCCAAATTAGGCCAAGGACTAGGCAGGACTCAGGCTACTAACTAGGGCAGAAACCTCATTCCATCCCCATACCCCACGTGTTCAGTGGTTAATGGGTTATAGCTTAGCTCCAGCCATACAAACAGTGCCAGTGAGTGTCAGCCTTCCATCCGTGGAGCTAGATAGTCCCGTCTCTAGCTCCTGGAGGAAAGGAATGTGCTGCTGGGCACCACACCTGGGCTTGATATTCTGTGCTTAGCTTCCAACAGCTACCAACTTAGCCTCTGCTGCAGTTCCTTTCTTTCTTTCTTTTCTTCCTTTCTTCCTTCCTTCCTTTGCTTTTTGTTTTGTTTTGATTTTGTTGTTTTGTTTTGTTCTTGAGACAGGGTCTCTCTATATAGTACTGGCTGTCCTGGAACTTGCTGTGTAGACCAGGATGGCCTTGAACTTGCAGAGATCCTCCTGCCTCTGCCTCCTGAGTACTGAGATTAAAGGCATGTGCCACCATGCCCAGCCATCCTTCCTGTTTCTTTAAAAAGATTTAATTTTTTAAGATTTATTAATTTTTACATGTATGAATGTTTTACCTGCATGTCTGTATGTGCATCACATGCATACCTGGTACCTGAACAGGTCAAAAGAGGGTATCAGATCCCTTGGAACTAGAGTTACAATTGGTCATGAACTGCCATATGAGCACTGGCAACAAAACCCAGGTCCTCTGCAATAGCAAAAAGTACTCTTAAACACTGAGCTATCTCTCCAGCCCTAATTTTATGTTTTAATTGTGTGTGTGTGTGTCTGTGTGTGTGTGTTTGTGTGTGTGTGTGTGTGTGTGTGTGTGTGTGTTCATGTGAGTGCAATGCCCAGAGAGGCCAAAAGAGGGCATTGGTTCCCTTGAACCTGGTGTTAAAGGCTGTTATGAGTTGCCTGATAGACGTGCTAGGAACTGAACTCTGGTCTTCTGTGGGAATAGTATGAGCTCTTAACCACTAAGCCATCTCTTCAGCTCCAGCCTCCTGTTTAAAGGAGAAAAATGTCATGGCTCAGAGAAACCTGAACACCTGGAGCCTGAAGCTCGCTCAGGAAGGAGTGAACCAAGGCCTGTGTCCTGACACTAGGGTCAGCCTCAGCACAACACCAGCACTGGTCCTGGTCAAGGGCCTGTCTTTGCCCACTGTGTGGCAGGCTGTACAGCTCCCAGCAGTACTAACCTCTCTCTCTTTCCCTCTGCATTCTCAGGGCAGCAGTGCTGAGGAGGCCTCTGGTGTCACCAGTGAAGGTAACAGACCACCCTTCCACCTACTCCTTCCCTGGAAGTGATAGTCCTGTCCCTGTCCCTCCCCCAGCTCTAGCCTACAAGACTACTCTTTCCCATTAGAATTTGACAAATTCCTGGAAGAACGGGCCAAAGCTGCTGATCGACTACCCAACCTGGCCAGCCCTTCAGCCGAGGGACCCCCGGGACCTTCTCCTAGCACAGCTCCTCGGAGGAAGACCCAGGAGAAGGATGATGACATGCTGTTTGCCTTATGAATGCAGGGTCTGGCACCCTGCAGCCCAGGGCCTAGCACTCTCATACCCACTGGGGCCCCTCCCTCTCTTGGTGTTAAAGCTGCTTGGGGGTGGTGTGTTAACCCCTTCTTTCCTCCTGGAGCCTGGGTGGCAGTAGGATGAACTGGGGGAACGGGTCAGCCTTCTACTGGGATCCTGACTGGTCCTGCCTCCTCCATCCTGCTACCCACTATGACTTTGCTGAGACCTGGGGCCCCAGACAAGCTGACCTGATGTGACCTGATTGACCTGGTGTGAGACTGCTTCCATGAAGTTCCCCTGGTTCCTTCCCCAGGGAAGCCCATGGGAGCCCTCCAGAATCCACACTACCAGTCTAGGTATAGAGGAGACGTTACCACAGCCTTGCCCATCCCTGCCCCTGCAGAGCGGGGCCTGAAGAAGGCTTTGGCTGGCTGTTGGGGGTAGGCTATGGTGGCCCCTGCTGAGCTGCCCACTGTCCAGGTACGAAGTTGCACCCAGTGAGGCAAGACCTCACCAGTCCAGGTGTCAAGATGAGACCTTGGGGATTCTGGGTACGCAGAGCCCCCCAGTTCCTCCACTGCCTTTCCCCCATCCTTGCTCTGTTCCTCCAGCAGGGCTCCACCCACCTGAGGCTCACCTGTTGGTTGGTCCTCAGGTACAGGGAGAGATGCCTTTTGTGTCCTCAAATAAAAGTAGAAAGCCACCTGCATCATGATCTGCTTCTGGCAGGAAGCATTTTGACCTCATGGTGGGCAGGGCCTACTTTAAGCTAGAGGCCGTCTGAGAGGTGGGCATCTGTTGATGTAGTGTGGTCTGTAGACCACACTCACAGCACAGCAGGGTGGTGCACACAGCCATCCTCACATATAAAACCCCTGTTTCACCACACAAATCCAGCCTCCATCTGTTCTGCATAGGGCAGCCATCTGCCTCTTTGGGTTCCTTCACACGTGACTACCCCCATGCTCTGCCCATCCTACAAGAGTGGCATGTTGCTCAAGAGAGGGAGCCAAGTATTGGTGGACAGTGTTGGCATGTTGGGGCAGCAGGCTACACACAGGGAGAATGCTGGTGCCAGCCATGACCCAGGTGCTCTGCACTGTCTGCACTGCATACTGGTGACTAGAACTCATGGCCGCCTTGGCACACAACACTGGGCACTGGGCTGTGCACATCAGGTGTAGGCACCCAGACCTTTCCTGGTTCTACACAGCCCTCAAGAGGACAGAGAATAAAAGTGGTCAGCACATAGGGTCTGGTACCTGCACTCTGAGACCCGGCTCAGCCCTCTAGGGACAGTTGGGTAAAGGAACCAGATTGGGGATAGCCTGCATAGGCCCTGGCTGTCCATCTTTAAGCAGGGGAAGGGCGGAGTGCACATCCAGGCCAAGCCCATCTACCCCTGGCCTGGTCCCACAGCATCCATGGTACAGGTCGGTAAGAAAGGCCTTGTTTGATTAATTAACAAGTCATGGAGGAGAGGGACCCCAGCCCATTCCTCTGCCTGCTTCCTTCATTCTTTCCATGTCTGAACCCTTTAGGGAAACTGACTTTGTGATGATCAAAGCCAAGGCTGCTGCTTTCCTGTGTAAGCTAGAAAGCCCCAGGAAGTTTCCACAAACCACTCCAGAAGCCCAGGGCCCTACCAATAATTACAGCTACCATCTTGTCTGTTACCAGGGTTTGATATTGTCTGAGTGATCGTTGTAGGGCAGACATGGTATTCAGTGCAGGGGATACATATGGGGATGTGACAGATGTTCCCGCCTGGGCACTTGTAGAAGGGAAGGGACAATAAGATTAGATCTGAGATAAAAGGGCCACTGCACTAAGTGGGAATCAAGGATCAACCAATCAATCCCCAGATTTCCACCAAGACAGGGCAATGCTGCAGGGGTTCTCTCTCTGGAGACCACGCAGACAGCAGAGGAGAGGGGATGCTGGCAGGAAACCAGGCACTGCCTGCAGACCTCAGGTCAGTTGGCAGCAACATGGCTTGGAGCACTGCTCTTCTCGTTCCTCAGCACAGCCTGCAGTGGTGCTGCCCAGCTCCAGGTATGTGTCTGTTCAGGACAACTGCTGGAGACCTAGAGGCAGCACCAGTCTCTCCTCCTGCCTTGGATGCTCCTTGCCAAGATCCCAGCAATAGGAGTGAATCGAGGGCTGCCCACAGGGCCTGGTGCTAGCCCTGCTACCGAAGCCAGGACTTCATGAAGCCCCTGACCCCTCCAGGATAGCTGGAAGGCTGTCCCGCTCTGCCATGTGGGCCTGGCTTCAGGAGCAGAGTCCCATTGTGACCACAAGATGGCAGCAGTGCTGCATGCACAGGAGCTCTTCTTGCTCCTTTCCCTGCTTGAACACACACACACACACACACACACACACACACACACACACACACACACAC